AGTTTGACCATCAAAGTGCAACAACAAACACCTTACTTGATCAATCTTCTTTCGATTTCTCACTCAACCTCTACCCAAAAACACTACTCTGTTTCATTACCTGCAACAACAAAAGACAGAGCTTGATCAAGAGTTCCATAGAAGAACCTCACAAAATTCAAGATTAATACAATCTGATCATCAAAGTGCAGAAAGAAACACATTGTTTGATTAAGCTTCAATAATCGAGTACTAATTATTAATTCAGTTTTGTATATAGTTTTCAGAATTCAAAAGATGTTTATACACATTTTTCTAAGTTCTGTTTTAGGCAAATTTAATATCGATGAAGAACACCTCCAGTGCTGATTATTAATCCATATTTATATATAGCTTTCAGTGTTTAATAGATGTTTAGACACAGTTTAATTGCATTCTTGATTAAACCAGAATTAGAAGACTATGTTTTCATTTTCTTTTATCAGTCTATATATATTTCGTGATTATGTATATAGCCGGTTTCATTATACCATCTCTTTCAGTATACCATTATCTTTGAATTCTACATTGAGTTTAAAATATTATTATATTAGTTGACAAAATCTAAACTTAACAAATCCTAATTTACAAACGTATCTCCCACATATCACGCATTCCTAATAACTATATTGCCGTATTTATACAATACATAACTTATTCCTAAAAAATATTTAACTAACAAAACCAATGAATTTATTAAAGTTCTATGGTATTCACTCATATTTTCACCTTCCTTATCCAAGAAATTCTATTAATATTTCAAATAATTTTGGAGTACAAAAAGGGAATATTTTCATATATATTAACTAATTTACATATCTATGCTTAGAATGTAGATCTTTACCGTGATTTACTCCACAAAAATGATAAAATTCTATACTAATCCCTATATGTGTATTGTTCTCAGTGACCCACCGATAAATGATCGTTCTTCTCCAGCATGTACCTTTGTATGGCAAAAAAAACAACGACATTTGATTATTCCTATATTCAGTCTAACTAATGCACTAAACCTACATCAAAGGCCAAGCGAGACTACTCTTTTCACATATGTTGCAAATACAGAACCATATAATTCTCTAAGAGAAATGAGAGTATAAGCTTAAGCACAGATTATAAGACTTAAGCACGACCAACAAGTGAAAAGCTGTCGGTGGAGAGAAGCTGAAACACTTTGTAGCTGAGAGAAGATGAAACACAAACCTACTGATTTTTGTCTATCATTTTTTGTAAACAAATAATTAGTTTTTTACATCATTTCTTGAGTTTCCCGGAATAATTTGTTTGACTCTTTTGTGGACCTGCTCCATAAAAAGATAATTAAAACCTAATTTCCATATATTGCAATGAAAATAATATTTTACATAGTGGATGAAAGGACCCATTTTTATTAGTTTAAAAAATAAATATTGTGAAAAACCCTTTGTTACTTACAAAATAGCGTTTGAACATAATTTCTTGCTATTTATATTAACCTTTTGGAAAGATTTTGTTTTTTTTAACATATTCTCCGTTTCAAAAAAAAAACATTGTAAAAAAAATATTTGTTTCAAAATGATCTATTTTTTTTTACATTTTCAATGTATGACTTAATGATAAAAGGTAGATTCCAAAAAAAAATAATTGTGTTTCTTAAAATTTTATTGGTTAAAAAATATAGGAGATTGTTATCTATAAAAAAAATGATGCATTGGTAATCAAAATTTTATATGTTTTTTCTTATTATGTGTAAAAAAGCTAAAACATTCTACTTTTTGAAAAAAAGGAGTAGAAATTACTTATTTGCAAGCTGATCACAAGATTTAACTTATTTTAAACTGAACACAAAATAAACGAATATATTAATAATACATTTAATTCATTCAATAAAACTTGAAAATTTTGAACTATAATTTGACCAGACAATATACTTATTAATCAATACAATTTTTTTAATAATTACATAACTGATCCTAGATACATCCAATTAGAAAAATACAAAAGTAAATCCAGTAATGTGATACATGGGCTCAACAATAAAATAAAATCAAATGTAACTAGGGGTGTTCATTCCGGTAAAACCGAACCGAAGTAAAGAAAATGGTTTCGATTTGGTAGTATCTAATAAACCGAATGGATATTATTTTTTAGAAATAGTAAATATATGGATATGGTTTAGTATATAAACCGATTAAACCGAATAAACCGATTAGTTACAAAATTAGTATACATATATATAAATTTAATAATAATGTTAATAATATATACATAATCTATTTTATTAATATAATAATAAAAACATTAATTTTAATAATTTTTATTTGTTTGAAGTTAAAATGGTTATTTTGTTTTTCTTTTTTTTCTAATTAAATAAAACATATTTTTTTTATTGATAACTCATTGTGCTAAAATATAATTATATAATAATATTATCATATTATTCTTTACTATTATTGAATATTTAAATAAAACAGAAAATATATTTAATAGTTAAACTTAGGAATGTATATTTATGTTTTAATAAATTTGTTTTCTATTCATATAATCTAAAATTTGTAATAAAGATACATATAGTTATAATTTTTTTGGTATAAAACCGAAAAACCAAAAATTGATGGTATATAAACCAAATGAAATCAAATTAGGTATTGTTCCAATATGGTAACTAACTTTCAAAAACCAAAATATAAAAAAAAAAAAAAAAACTGAAAACACCAAACCAAAACCATACCAATGTCCGGACTGAATATGTTCTCCACATCATTGTGTGTGAAAGGTTTATATTGATATTGTAGAACAATCACCCGCGCGGGCGCGCGGGTCAAAATCTAGTTGATATTTTATGAGTATAGTTTTACGGGTTATTCCAAAAAACATATAAAATATTTATTAAATATAAAAATAATTGAACAAAACTTAAAACACACTTTAAGTTAGGTTTGGGTTTTAAAATATCCGTTGAGATACGGATTGGGTATTTGGAATTTTGATTCTAAATTATATCACATCTTAGGTCTCTTTCTCTTAAATTTGTAAATATGGATCGGGTTCGGATATAAAATAATCATATATCATTCGGATTCAGGTTATATTGGTTCGGTTTGGATATATGTAAATTTAAAAAAGAAACAAATACTTATTGATTGGATATTTAATGTACTTATTTAAAATTTAATAATTAAGATTAGATATTATTAAAAATAAATATAAAATTGAATATCTCAAAAATATATTTATGTTTCAAATTTGTATATATATGATTAGTTTGGACATTTATATCAGTTTTCTAATTTTTCAATTTTTAGGGTTTTCAGATTATCCGCTCGGATTCAGCTAATAACACTTCTATTTACGGACCATCTTTTGAACTACTTTAATCATAATATCTTTTGATATCTTTTCCTTTTAAATATAAACATATATTTAAAAAAAAATCTAACAAATATGTTTAAAAGATTTTAACAACATCTTAATATTCAAAAATTCTGAATAAATATTTTAACAATTCTTAATTAGTTTTAAAATATTATTATACATTAATATAGTTTATAAAATGTAGAATAAATTTTTTAACTAAATATGATTATATTAAATTATTAAATTTATATATTTTATTTTCAGAAGTATTTGTGCTCAAATATATATGGGGTTAACATTCGAAAACTATATAATACATATATAAAATTAACATGTATTTCATTAAAGCTAATAATACAAAATATTTGTAATTTAATCATGATATCTTTTCATTTTAATATATATAGAGAGCAATGAAATATTATTATGCATTAATATATATATTCAATTATCATTTATAAAATGAAACATAAATTATATCTTATTTTTATCTATTTTATAATAATAATTCTAACAAATCTGTTGAAGAATATCTTAACAATATCTTAATTTTCCGTAATTTTATGTAAATATTTTAACTAATTTTGTAATTAGCAATGAACTACTATTATGCATTAATATATATTCAGTTATCATTTATAAAATGAAACATAAAAATTATATTTTAATTTTATCTCTTTTATAAGAATAATAAATCATGTTAAAAAAATTATTATATTGAATTAGAGATGGTAAATTATATTAAAGGATAAATTTATAATTTTATTTTCATAAATAGAAAATATTTATGTTAAAAATATGATATTGTGACATAAAGACTTAACATTTTAAAACTATATAATACATGTACAAAAATTGACATATCGTAGATTTTTGTATATATAAAGAATATATTATTTTAAATGAATAAATGTGAAAATATTGCTGAAAGGAAATACGGCTTTGTAGGTCGACGGGTCAGAATTGAACATAAATCTGATACAAAATAATTTTCAAATATGTTGTTTTATACATATATTAATTTTTTAATAACATAAATATATAATAAAAAACGACAAATACATGTGATGGTTTTAAACTATTAATTAATTATACCATGTAAACTATAAAATTATTATATTTGAAATATGTATGTCAACATTTGAATATATGGTTAACATTAAAAATGTATCCCACTAATGAACTGAAATAAATATATATATTTATAAAACTGAAAAAGAACAAGGATCAAGAGTGTGAAGTGATACGCTCCGAGAAAAAAAAATGTAAATGTAGACAAATAACCGAATAACAGAGAATATAAGAGCATCATCAAAACGGACAAACTATATAAATTTCTCGACAAATATATTATTATTTTAGTTCTTTTCAAAAAGTGAATGATGTGGAACTTGAGATCTAACAAGTAATGAGAAATGAACCTCTACTTAGTATATTTTTATTTTTTATTTATTATGAGATAATGAGTGAAAATATACAGATAAAGATGCTTTTAAGCATCTCAAACAGAACCCATCATTATTTTGATCGGTTTAAGTTCATGGCCACTGCGAAAGGAAGAAAAAGATTTTGCATAAAGAGAAAAACGAAAGAAAGATCAACATCAAGAACAACGGTTACTCGGACACAAAGCTGGACGTTTGCTTTTATGGTGCACCTGGTGGATCTTTGTGTCCGATGCCTTGGCTAGGACCTGGACCCGTGGGTCTGAACGCAGTTTGTTCTATATTTTTGTATATGTTAATCTTGAACCATAGAAAGTCTTCTTTCGGGGGTGATGGTGGTGACCACTCGAGAGGAATAGGCGGACCGAACACTTTAACTGATTTTCGTGCAGCCGTTGTAGTTCCAAATTGCAAATGTAACACAAGAGAGAAACACAAAATCAAAGTTAGAGACGCAATAGAACTACGACAGTTCACCATAGTGTTATAACACTTAGAACTTGCAAGACAAACACTATATCTTATAACGTATATAATTTTGGATATGGAGATTGGGTTTCTTCTTATCAACCCAAGCGAGAGGGATGCAATATATATATAAGAATGTTCATAAGTGGGATCCCACAAGTCCTATGTTTTTCTTCCTCTTGTTTTTTAACACCGTTATTCGATTAAAAATAGTTGTTGTTCGAATATTGTTTTATTAATCTGGGTATCCAAACTTAAATAAATGTTCAGATTAATTTTAAGAAGAGGTGTATCTCACAAATAAACGCTATTTTCGGATATGGAAATGGATCGTAAGGACGTACGAGCTCATATTCGTAAAGATATCCAAAAACAATTTGACTTTAGTATAGCATAGTAGATAATTGAACCTGAAACATGTTAGACGTCTCAAACTTCTCTCCTTACCTTAACCATAAGGTCCCGGATGAATTTGACCCAAAAAAAAAGTCCCGGATGAATATGGTTTTATTTGTCGTAATATCCCCTATATATTATTTGAGAATCATTTAAAAAATTGTAACCGTAAGTTTGTAAGAATTAAAAATAACCCCAATCCTACGTGGCATAGTTCTTTGGCTTCTATTTCAAATCCCAAGGATTCTAGAGCATGTGATATAATGTATAGTTTAAAAATTATATTCTCTAGAAATATAATATTTCGTAGGTTATAGTCGGGCGCATATATCAAATATTTATTGTTTCGCATGCTTTCCTTAAATAAAACCTACGGAATTACCTAATGTGATTAAAATATATATATATGACAATTAATGATTTTAAACAATAAAGATTTGATAACAATATGTATACTTTTCATTTTTTATTTCTTTATTATTAAAATAAATTACACAATTACATTAATCATATAATAAAAATCTAAACTTTTTTTTCTGTATGTTGTATTTCGAATTTTTCAAAATGAGTATAAATTACTAAAATTGTTAAAAGTCCCACAGAAACTTTTAAGATCAAGGTTTTAATTTTTTTTCTATACTAAAATATAATGATTATAAGACCATATGAAAAAATAATTTTAGTTTATATATATTTCATATCATTTTAATTAAACTATACATCGTATGAAAATACATACTTATATTTTGATATTTGCCTTGAACATATATTGAAAAGTTAATATTTTAATTTTGAAATATGTCATTGTTTTTTTAAAACGATTATAAATTATTTAAACTACTAAACATCTCACATTAAAAACAATTGGTTGGTGTAAAGTTTCGTTACACAAATATGCAAATAATCATAAAATCATATGAGTAGAAACCTCATTTAATAAATATACATATTAAAAGTGTGCTATATTACTATGTTTATATCATTTAAATTGAATTATATATCATATACAATATATAAGATTGATTATTTTGATTTATTTACCCTAATTGTGAATAAACAAGAGTAATAGTTAAATTTATATGCGTACGCCAATTTATTACATAATAGTAACTGATTTCTTAGTTATTTAATATATATTTATTATTTATAATATGCAGAAAATATATAATAAATAATAAATATAAAATACTTATTGTGCATAAAGTGCAGATCTTAACCTAAGTATGTATCTCTTTAGTTATTTTAAATCTTAAGTATTTACTAAATTTCAGGTCAAAACAAACAAACGAAATGAGAATAAAATTCAAAATAAATATTTATATCGAGTAATAACCAAAATATAAAAAAACATAGCAAGAGAAAAATGGAAGATAGATAGGATTGACACGTGAACATAAACTTCTTATAACCATAATTAATTTTTAAATTGTTAAATCATGATATAAAACTGAGTTAATTTTTATTTTTTTTAAAAAAAAATTAAATCATAATGGTTATGTTAAATCATGATCATAATTAATTCTAAATTGTTTATTTGTATTTGAAAAATTTAAAATATTGTTTTTAAAAATAATTTGAAATTGAACACAATTTTTTATAAAATTATTTTAAAAAATAATAATTTGTAAAAAATATAATTTTCTAATATTATTAGACAAATAAATAAATTATATTAAATTAGTTTTGAAACTTTATATATTTTAAATGCAAATATTTTACCAATTGCGTCTTAACAAACATTATGGAACTTGCTATTACTCTACCAATCAAGCCCAGTGACACTCCATTTATTTTCCCTCATTCGAACACTTAAAAATGAAAAGATATATGAAATCAGATCCATTAAATTCTGAGATTTGATCTACATTTCTAATTAAAATTGTTTCTGATCCTACGTATAGATAATTATATAAAAATTCCAAAATTCTAAAATTTCAAATACATACAAAAACAATCATATGTAAATTTTAAATTTGTCAACACTAAAATTTATTATTTTCATTACATATTTTCACCCTGCGCAAGACGTAGGTTTTATCCTAGTAGTCAACTATTCGATGATACTTTGAAATAAGAAAAAGAGCACGCTCCCCACTAATACTTGCCAAAAATGACATCGGTCGCCTTATGACAACATAAATATTTCTACTTTTAGTAAGTCATGTGTTATTATAATGATCTTCTATCAAAAATGCTTTCTCCACTAAACTTGCCAGATGCTTTGGTTACGCTCTCTCTATCTATTCGCCACAATTTTAAAGGCATGTTAAAAATGTAAGTTAAATAAACTAATGATACAACAAGGGAACATTTTAATAAAAGATAATGAAAACTCATCAAGTCACCCCTTTATCAAAAAAAAAAGAAAAAAAAAACTCATCAATGTTATAAATCACATAGTGGATGACCCATAACCAAACCATGTCAATAGGCCCATTCGGCCCTATAGATCATAGGCGGCTACAGCCATATTTCCTTTTCTATGTATTAGTAGTTTTCATAGGCGGCTCACGATCTGACACGGTTCTTCTCTCTTTGGTGGTACGGTTCAACCCTAAAAACTCTAAGGTATTTCGATTGAACCCTAAAACCTAATGATAGAACCCTAAAACCCTAAAGCCATTCTTATTGCATCCGATCCTATTGTTGAAACCCTAAAATCAATCCCCTAAAACTTTAATCACCAAACCGCAAGTATGCAATCCACATACTATGCAACGAGATTCGGTTCCCTAAAACCTATATTGATTTATTTATTGTTTGGTTGATCTGAGATTTTGAAACCCTAACTATGGAATCGAAAACCCTAAACCCTAATTAAGATCCGTTTGATCCTTGAAGTTGTTTGTTTGATCTTACTAATGTTCTGAGGTTTAGGTTGCTAGATTGTTTGAGCTTCTGATCTGTTTCTTAAATCTGAAACCCTAAATTTCATTTTGAATCCTTAAACCCTAAAATACATATGATTGATCCGATTTGAGTTTAGGGTTGATTCTTGTTATTTTGATTGATCTAATTGATGTCTTAAAAGTTAGGATTGCTAGATTATTATTTCTGAACCTGAAACCCTAAATCTGGGCTGAAACCCTAAAACCCCAAATTCGCATATTCTTGTTTAATGGTATTGATTGATTGCCTTGAGAGTTAGGTTGATAGATTGATTGATCAATATGATATACCTTGAATCCTAAAACCCTAATCGCGAAATTAAATTCCCTAAAGGTTGAAACCCTAAATCTGCGAATCGACCTTATTTTGAGGTTTAGAAATTGTTTGCATATCTGATTGATTGATTTTATTGCATGAGAGTTAGGTTGCTAGATTACTTGATTCACACACTCTGAAACCTTAAAAGGCCTTGAAAACCCTAAATCATATATTGCTAAATCTGTTTGTTATTTTTATAAATTGTTTCGAGGTTTAAGAATCATTATCTAAGATTAAATAATTGTTATGAACTGAAACTTTAATCTGAAACCCAAAAACCCCATGCGCACATTGATAGTAATTGCTAATATAAACCCTAAACCTAATGTTGAATCCACATTGTTTTAAAAGTTCTTGGCTGCATAATTGTTCATTGAAAATTGCTTGCATCATATAGCATGGCCGTGTGGTCTAATCATCTTGATCTCATATAGAACTCGAACCCTAGGATTGTTTTGCACCATGATCGATTAAAAATAGTTTTGGTTGAGATTCTTGTTTAATATACATGCGCATGACTTGTTTGTTTAGCCACATTATGAAACCCTAAATTTGATTGATAATATCCATTCAGAGCTCGAAAATTTGCAATCTAGACTATGTTGACCTTAATCTCTCTGGAGATAACTATTTGCAATGGGCATTAGATACTAAAATCAACCTGAGGTCAAAAGGACTCGTTGAGACTATCATCGAGAATAACAATGAGAATGATATAAATAGACACAAGGCAATAAGTATTATTCGCCATCATCTCACTGAGGGTCTAAAAGATCAGTATCTCACTACTGAAAAATCCTCTAGACCTTTGGACCGCTTTACAGCGAAGATATGATCACCAGAAAACGGAGTTACTACCAAAGGCTAGATATGAGTGGAGGAATCTCAAATTCCATGACTACAAGTCCGTGGATGAGTATAACTCAGTTTTATTTAAAATCGTCTCGAAGATGAGACTTTTTGGTGAAGAGGTAACTGAGAAGGAATTACTAGAAAAGACCTTCTCCACATTCCATTCAAGCAATGTGTTGCTGCAACAGCAATACAGAGAAAGAGGCTTCACCACCTACATTGATCTGATCTCATGCATATTACTGGTCGAGACTAATAATGAACTCCAAATGAGGAATAGTGAGATGAGACCTCCTGGATCTGCCACATTACCAGAAACCAATAAGGCTGTAGAAGAAAAGAAAGATTCTAAAGAAAGCAACCACGTTTATGATAATAGACCACCCAGCAGAGGCCGTGATGGATGGAAAGGATGTGGTGGTCGAGGTAATTATAACTCGTACGACCGTGGAAAAGGGAACCACAATAACCGTGGTCGTGGTCCCAGCTATGGCCATGGCCAAGGTGGCATATCTAAGCCATCTCACTCGACCAAATCGGTTTTCCACATATGCGGA